ATATAAATTGATTTCAGAGAGGAAGGGAGAAGGAGAGATAGAAACATCAATGATGAGAGAAAATCAGTGATTGGCTGCCGACTCTGGAGACGGAGCCCGCAACCCAGGCATGTGCACTGACCTGGAATTGAACGACCTCCTGGAAACATCAATGATGAGAGAAAATCAGTGATTGGCTGCCGACTCTGGAGACGGAGCCCGCAACCCAGGCATGTGCACTGACCTGGAATTGAACCGTGACCTCCTGGTTCATAGGTCGACTGACACTCATCCACGGAGCCATGCCGGCTGAGCCAGAAGCAAGATTTTAAAACGTATTTTTAAATAGCCAAACTTTACAGGTCAGCAATTTAATTTTTTAAGGTTGCACATTTTCAAAAGTAATTTACTAAGTGAATATTTATTGGGCACCTAGATCCTACCTAGCACATGTATCAAGATGAGAGATAACATAACTATAAATGTATGATTTGACAATTGACTAAATAACAGTCTCCATGAAAATGAGAACTGAGTGGAAGCATAACAAAAGTAGGGACTGTTCCTCGTACATGCATGCTTAGGTCTACTGCGGTAACGGGAGTAGAGTGGGTGGCACTTTGTGATACAAAACCTTTCATTTCATTACCCTCAGGTGCAAACTCTTAGAGGCCCACTGATAGTGCCGGGATTCACACAAGGTGTCTTCCTCAAACAACTAAACCAGCGGTTCTCAACCTGTGGGTCGCGACCCCTTTGGGGGTCGAACGACCCTTTCACAGAGGTCGCCTAAGACCATCGGAAAACACATATATAATTACATATTGTTTTTGTGATTCATCACTATGCTTTAATTATGTTCAATTTGTAACAATGAAGTTGGGGGTCACCACAACATGAGGAACTGTATTAAAGGGTCGCGGCATTAGGAAGGTTGAGAACCACTGAACTAAGTGGTGTTCTATAGCCTGAGATGTGGAAGGGGCTTTGGAAGGCTGTGGAAGTCATACTGGAAACGCAAGTGTCTTTAAAGGAGACAGTGGAGAGGGAGCTGGCTGTAAGGCAGCCGACGTCCGGGCGGGTGGCCGGGAAAGGCATCGGGCAGGTGTGCTGCGCGGGACACCGCGGGTCACAGCACTAGTTAGAGGTCGGGACCAGCAGCTTCCCTTCCCCGGGCTCCCTGTCCGAGCGGCGGGGCTGGACAGGGCGTCTGTGCAGCCTCAGTTCCCGAGGCCCCTCCGGGCGCAGTGCCCTGCTCTGGGCAGGTCCCAGCCAGTGCCTC